AAAAATAAAAGAAAAATTCAGAGGCTTCCCTTTGCAAATAAATCAAGCTTAAAAATAAAGACCTTGATGTTAGTGGAGGGGGTGGCGGAACTAAAAAAAAGAATTAGAAAAAGAGAATAAGCAACAATACACTGCACTCTATTTAATTATCCAAGGCTCTAATTATAACTCCCTTCTCTTTCCCACAAGCTTCAAAGCTGAGCCATAAATATCCAGAAGGACACCTGTAATAATATTCAACAGAGTGCTTTCCTCTATCTTATCAGAGGATGTCCTTGAGAAGAGTCTGTTTTTTCCAGTTCAAGTAAAATATTTCCAAGCCTCTAGATGGCAGTGTTACAAAGTTTCTTAGTTCTCACTTTCCCCCCTCCTCTCTGAAGAGCATAGTAAAAAAGGGAAAGCCGACGTGGAATACACAAAAGCAAAGAAACAAAAACAAAATCAAAAGGAGCCTCTAGCCTAAAAATGATAAATCCAGAAGAAGAATAAAACATATAAGTATAAAAAAAAAAACAGTCCAGTTATCCAATAAATAACAATAAAGTCCGGAAGCAAAGAAAAGAAAAAAAAATGGATTCTCTCTTTGACATTTCCCTAAAAAAAACGCCGCTTAGTCAGTTTTGTCAAAAAAAAAAAAAATCACACAGGTTTCTTCAAATAGTCAGAGTAAACTTTCAAGGCTCAAAAAATTAAATAAAAAAAAAAGGTTCTCACCCAACCGACAAACTCTTTCTCAAACTCATTCCTTCTGGAGCCGCCCCGGCTTCAGCAGCATGGGGGCTGCCTCTCCGCCGCTGGCAAGAAGAGCTTCACCCGGGCTCTCCAGGGATTTTGCGGTATCCCCGGAGTCCTCAGGGTACGCTCTTCACGATGGCTGCCCCTACGGGACAGCGTAGGTCCGTTGGACCGGCCGGTAGTGGAGATATCGGTTGCAATCGAGGAGCTCGATTGCAGACCGTATCGCCACGGCGCAGGCTCCTCCCATCTCCCAAAATCTATGATTCTTGATGTCTTTAGTTTCCAAATATTGGAGATATTATCCAAAAAAAAATATCCATGCAATTTATATGCAATTTTTAATAGGAAATGAATTTCATGTTACTTAAAGCAGACTTCTACTTTATAAAGGCAGGATAAGTCAGTCTGATTATTCAGGAACTTATAAATAATTGGAAAATATAATTAGCCCCTTTTTTCCTTATAAAAAGAGGGAATTTTGCAAAATAATCATAATAATTTTTTTTTAGAAATAAAGGATTTGTTGCTTAATTTTTTTATTATGTAAGTTTTGTACTACAGTATTACAGTCTGACTTCTGTTAACCCTTAACTTGGATCCTAGATTAATTTATTCCCTTAAACCTTCTGAGAAAGGAAATGGATCAAAAAATGTGACCCAATATTAGTGCTTGATTTAAAACCATTCTTTTAGGAATCGTTCAAAGTTACAATGGCACTAAAAAGTGACTTATGATCCATACTCACACTTACCACCATCACAATATCTTGCAGTCATGTGATCAAAATCCGGGGGCTTGGAAACCAGCATCTATTTTGCAATAGTTGCAGCATTCTTCCTAGCTGGTTTCTGACAAGCGATTAATGGGAGATGTCATATTTATTCATTCATTTAACAACAGCAGTGACAATGTGGCAAAAAAGGTAGTAAAATTAAGCATTTCACTTAATGACCTTTCTTTGCAATGGAAATTCTGGTCCCAATTATAATAAGCCATATGTATATGTATCTGACTCTTATCTTACAAAAAAACATTAAAGGTAACCTTGCTTTTAAGGAATAAAGTAGTTTATTGCTAGTACATGTAGTCCAACAGTTCATTTAGTAACTGTTCAAAGTTACAGCAGCATTGAAAAAAGTGACTTACGACTGTTTTTCACACTTAACAACTGTGGCAGCATCCCTAGGGTCATATGTTTGACGCTCAGCAACTGGTTCATATTTATGATGGTTGCTGTGTCCCGGGGTCATGTGATCAGTTTTTGTGATCTTCTGACAAGCAAAGTCAATGGGGAATCCAGATTCACTTAACCACCGTGTCACTAACTTAACAACTGCAATGATTCACTTGTGGCAAGAAAGATCGTAAAATGGGGCAAAACTCATTTAACAAATGTTTCAGCTACATAAATTTTGGGCTCCATTGTGGTCGTAAGTTGAGGACTACCTGTATTAAGCAAGAGGGAAGAGCAATTAAAGGAAAAAATTACATGAGAATATTGAGGAAAAATCTTGTCTTAATCTCTTAATAAAATTCTCCCACCTGGTTTTAATGCAAAACATCCAAAGGACTCTGGATAGAGAACTTTCATCATGCCCTTAAGATTTTCAGAGAGGTTTTGAGATATTCAACCTTAGAAAGAAAGAAAAAAATGAGTCAATCTTAAGTAGAATTGGGACTGCCTCTTTACCCATTTCCTATTCTCTCCAAAGGATGAATGGCAGGGTGAATGGCGGATAAAACAGTGAAGGTAACACTGTGGAAAGGAAGTGAGATGAACGTTAAGGGTAAAAATTACACCAAGATGAAGAAAGGATGCCTTGTTTTTAAAAGGACAGATTTGACATAATACATTGGATGAGGAGTAGGGACCTTCTGACTTAAATTTGACTTACCAGGGTAAAATGTGTAGAAGCTTAAATTGTTATATGCTGCCCTTATTTTTTGAAATGATTATATGTACAAGCACCATTAAGCTGAGCTTCCCAGTATGCTGAATTTAACAGTGGGGCCACAACTTACTTATTTTAGGAATCACATCCTCTGCTAAGGGAACATATATCATTCTGATTAGCTGAAATAATTGTCAGCTTTGGAAACTATATTAGTACCAGACCACATTCTTGAGCCTGGGAAAATGGGAGGGGGGAATTCCTTGGAGCGTATGTGGTTTGACATAATAGCATTCTTCTTCTAAGTCAAGGTCATATTATTTCTGCACCTGGCTGAGGAGTGGTTGAGGGGATATCTCAAGGTGGGACGGATGGTGATTGGGGCATGTGGTGCAATGAGGGGAGCGGGGTGTGTGTGGTGGATTTCTAATATTTTACTTATTGAAGGGAAACCTTGAACTTTCGGATTCAGGATTTTCCAGATGTGCCAGTTTACTAATGTAATAAAAAGAACCTTTGAGAAGATGTTTGTCTCGGAGTTATTTGGTGGAGCTGAGGTTTTCTGGAATGCTGATAACGATATTCTGTAGATATAATGTTAGGACAAGTACTTCTTGAGTTATGATCACAATTGAGCTCAAAATTTCTGCCTCTAAGCAAGATAGTTAAGTGAGTTTTGGCCCATTTCATGTCCTTTATTACCATAGTTGCTAAATGAATCACTGCAGCTGTTAATTGAATCAGGTTTCCCCAATGACTTTGCTTTTCAGAAGATCATAAAACGTGATTACATGACTCCTGGGACACTGCCATCCTAAATACATACCAGTTGCAAAGCATCTAAATTTTGATCATGTGATCATGGAGATGCTGTAACAATAAAAGGTCATTTTTTTTCAGTGCTATTGTAACTTCAATCACTAAGCAAATGGTTGTAAGTTGAGGACTACCTGTATTTCAATAATTTTTATTTTAAACATAATTTTTGTAAATGAATATGTGCAATCTGTTTTTTACATAAACAGCCGAGGAAGCCCTCTGCAAATTTCTCAGGTGGTGATGCCATGGAACTCAGAATAGTCAGTATCTGGTAGAAATGAAGTATAAATATAAGGCTGGCAGAAAAGTCATTTGTCAAAACTCTGAAGTACTTCCGGTTGACTGCAAAGAAGCATTCAACAAATGAAAGGCCATTAGAATACAGTTTTTAAGGAATCAGAAAATAGAGAGATGTCCTTGCTTATTCTGTAAGCAAGAAAAAAGAGAAAACTATCTCGTATTTGACTGCATTATGGCCAATTTTTTATAGTGTGCCAAAACATGATCTATTCTAATCATTTTAAAAGTAAATGATCTAGATTCCCTTAAGCTAGGCACAACCCATATGTGTAAATCACAATCACTAAATATGTTAAGCTAAAACCAGATAACCATGTTATGCGTTAGTTCAATGTGGGGACTACGGGTGAGTTTTTACATTATAAAGTACCATTTCACAACCTTTTAAACATCTGTCTCGTGTTATCCTAAATCAAGTAAGTCACATTATGTCTTAATATATGTTTGTATTCTTAATATGTTTGTGTTCTGCCTCTGCAGTTTAATTTTTCAGTTTAATCCTGGCTGGTGGTAGTTCTCCAACACCTTTCCACATTACATGTAGTCCTCAACTTCACACCACAATTGAGCCCAAAATTTCTGTTACCAAGCTTGATAGTTAAGTGAGTTTTGCCCCATTGTACAGCCTTTCTTGCCACAGTTGTTAAATGAATCACTGCAGTTGTTAAATTAGTAATATAGTTGTTAGGTGAATCTGGCTTCCCCAGTGATTTTCCTTGTCAAAAGCCGGTCACATGTCTCTGGGATACTGCAACCATCATAAATATGAGTAAGTTGCCAAGCATGGAGATGCTGTTGTAAATCAAGAACTACCTGTACTACATACCTTAATAAACTGAATATAGAAACTGTAAAATTTTGGTCTTTCCTATTGCTTGTCTTTCCTCAATCAGAAGGCAGTTTTGCCAGAATGGGAGTAAAGGATCTGCACCAGGGAGAGATGGAGGCAGAGGAACGAGGATGGAGGTCTCCTGAATTCGGGGAGGTCCTTTTCCCAAAAATCAGTGATCTTCCCAGAAGGTCACATGTGAGCAAGTGTGATTCAGAAAGGCCACAGAAAGGCAGCCTTTCCACAAGAATGATTAAGGATGAAGTGTTTGGGGGAGTTCCAACCGACCTTGAAATGAAACGACATCTGTGTAAGGAATGTGGGAAAAGGTTTCGGAAGAAGTGGGATCTCATCAGGCATGAAAGGATCCACACGGGTGAGAAACCGTATCAATGTCCAGAATGTGGGAATAGCTTCAACCGGAATACAACCCTCACAAAACATCTCATTCATTCAGGAGAGAAGCCTCACCAGTGCACGTACTGCGGAAGAAGGTTCACACGGCGTTCACATGTTGTGAATCACCAGAGACGCCACTCGTGGTAGGTACCCCTCTGTTTCTCTTAGTTGTGCGGTTGGGAAACTCATAATTCACTAAATCCCCCTGTAGGCCATCTTGGGCTCTTAGGGGTAAAAGAAACAGCTAAAACTAAGGAAAAAAAAATAGATATGCAAGTTGAAAGGAAATGTGGGCAGGAGCAGCATGATATGATCTAAGAAATCTTTATTGACATTTGCTTCTTAAGGGGTCATAATAAATCAGTATTTCTCAGCCTTGGCAACTTTAATATATATAGACTTCAATTTCTAGAATTTTCTAGCTAGCTTGCTGCCTGGGGAATTCTGGGAGTTGAAGTCTATTTGTATTAAGGTTGACAAATACTGCAACAAATGTTCAGATTGCAGAAGAAAGGAGGTAAGCTGTACTAATTAGGGTGGAGAAAAAACATTTTAATTGGAGCTACGAAGTTGCCTGGACATTGAAACAAACACCTGATGGGATATACGGTGAAACAAAAACAGATGGGGTATACAGTGACCTCCAGAGTCCCAAACTACAGTCCTAGCATAATCTAGTTAATATTGTGAATGGTGAGCGATGCTGGAAGTAGAAATCAGCAACAACCGGAGGGCTACAGAATTCCTGTTCCTGATTTAAGGAGATGGAGGCTGTTGCCTGATTAAAGAAGGAGGTAAATTACTATATAATCAGACAGCCTTACTTGAGTGTCTTTTGCAATTATCCAGAAATCAGCCTCATTGGGCACAGGAACTATGACTGATTAATACACTTATTTGAGTACTACATATTAAAACACTGTTTCTCAACCTTAGCAGCTTTAAGATATGGGGATTTTCCCAGAATTCCTCAAAGAGCGTGGGTTTTGATCAGCATGGCTGCCTGAAGAATTCTGGGAGTTGAAGTCCACACTCTTAAGTTGGTAAGGTTGAAAAATACTTTCTTAGATACATCCCAGAAATTTAGCCAACTCAGATTCAGGAGGCGAATCATTTTAACTCCAAAGCACCCTAAGCCAGTTGTTAGATAAAATTTCTGGCCAGAAAAATCACCCATTGCAGAACACTAGCCACTTCTAAGCCATTGTCCAGTTTAAGCCTTTGTCCAGTTAATCTTGCAAGGAAACTGTGTGATGGACAGCAATTGGAAATACAAGACAAGGGATTACAAAATTTGTAGCTATGCTCTGTCAGTCAGTCATTTGTCACCCCCAAAAGGGATTAGCTGCTGTGGCCAAATCATCATATCTGTCTCCTGCCTGGTTATCTACTGGGTCCTGGATGAAAAGAACCTCTACCAGTGCTTTCTGTGTACAAGGATCATGGATGCTGAGCAGAACCATAGAAAGAAATTAGGGAATCCATATTTTCCCATTAGGTCCTATTAACGTTATTGTCTACTTCCAAATCTGTCTATAAACTTGGATTAATAGCAGCCTGTGATAAAAGTATTGCAGAGCAAGTGGCTTTTCTTCTAAAATGACTTCTGCATCCTAGTTGCAGCCTCTGGCATCTTTACAATCAGAGAACCAATGAGAGAACATCTGGTTAAAGACCCAACAGGACAGGTAGTCCACAAGTTACGACCATGATTGAGCCTGGAAACTATAGTTGTAAGTCATAAAACAAATCACATGCCCAGATCCAATTTTACTACCTTTTTCATGTGGATATTAAGCGAACACCATAGTCGTTGTGAACCTGTTGTTCAATGTGGAGCAGGTTTTGCCAGAATTCAGAAGTTAAACTCCAGTTTCCAGCAAAAACATCATAAATTGCAATGTGACCATGGAGTACTATAAACAGCCATAAATGCAGAGGGTTGCTGAGTGCACAAAATGCAGTCATGTGATCACAGGAGGGGGAACCCAGCATCAAAACTTCAAAACTGGGTTGTAAGTATCTTTTGGAGGGTTCATCATAACTTTGAACAGTCACTAAGTGACCAGCTGTAAATCAAGGACTATTTATATCTAGGACCTATATTATTAGTTTGGAATGTATATAAATGAATGACATGCACACCAATTTTTCACTTTCATTTTAAATGACTGGATCATTTTTTTCTGAATGTCCTCTTCAATCCTTTTCTAAATGTTGAAGGCTGTCCAATTTCAGCTTAAATTATGGCTCGTTTGAAAGAAGACAGGTCTTGATTTCCTTATGATTCTGATTATCTGTCCTCTATTTTGTTTGCAGCCAAGGAAGATCTTGACAAAAGGATCTATCGCTTCCAGTCTGAGCAACAGATTGAGAAGTCCTGTATGACAGGGGAATAAAGGTAGCTCGGTTTGTGTCCTGCAGGGCTTGGAAATTAGACCAAGGGTAGGAGTGATGTGGATTATTGACTATTTGCTGTTTGTCCACATCTTGAATATGATCAAAATGTGCTAAGGACACACAGCTCTCAGGGGCATCCATTCTGTTGAGAGGACAAAGGAAAATCTGTACATATTTATGCCAATCAGTAACAATAGAGAAACTAAGACTCCATCCAAGTCAAAAGAGTAATTTATCCACATTTTACTTGATCCAGAGCCGCAGTGAGAGATTGAGTTCCTGTTTATTTATTCTGTATTATTTGGACTGCTTGCTGGCTACAAATGAGTATATCATCATGCTACTAATTTAGCCCTTAATATAGATGAATGGATGCTCCTGGGGAAATTGCTAATTTTGATCAGTATTTTTGTATCAGCTAAAGCTAAATCCTTTACCTGCTTTGCTGTACCCATGTCCCAAAACAAATGATGCTCATTAAGTAAGATTTAAAGGCAAAACATCTTCCAGTAATATCTGCCAATAAAGACTGGCAAAATTATCCTTGCCAACTATTTTGGAAGGCAGTCCATAGATTTAACCTATGAAGGGATGGAGCTCTCTGAAAAAGTGATACTAACCAATAATTCAGGATAAAAGAAATTCCAAGTTTTAAGTAAGAAACAAGACTGATAGATTGACCAAGAGGCACTGACCTGGTATGCTCTTAAATGGAAATTTATATCCAGAATATGTCCCCATCATTGAGACTTTCGCATGTCAAGCCGCCAAGATGTAGGTATACGTTTGGCAGTGTAATTTGGGGAGGAAAGGCCAGATAGGAAAACAGGAAACAAAATGGTTTCATGGTATGCTGTGCTTGCTGTTACGGATTTTTATACTGCTCTGTGGCAAGTCCTTAGGGCTGATCACAAAGTTAGAAAATTGTGGCCCTCAAATGGCTGCCGAATACAGCTCCCAGCATTCCTCACAACTGGCAATACTGGAATAATGTGAAGTGAAACTGACTTGGTTATTTAATGATTCATTTTTTATTCTGTACAGTAGAAAATCAGTGCAACATTTGTTGACATAAGCTATTTCCCCCTTTTTACTAATTCTGAAAACTGCTTAGAGATTTTTGATTACAGAATTCATAAATTAATTTTCACAGACATCTGTTTTAATGTATTGTCAAATCATTTTGGCTTTTCAAGCTTCTTAAAATCCTGTTCTAACAGCAGTACATATATTTCACATAAGAGGAAAAAATGATTTTGCTTCAAAGCTGGGTCCATTTTAAAAACAGTACACCAGATAAAATCTGGAGTAACTTCAAATCCTACGGCTTGATCGTGTGGCCCTTATGTGAGGAATATTTATTTTCTACGAATGATCTTTTATATACTCTTCAGTTTCTATGGCTGCCTTTTTAGCATTATAGGATAACTATATTTATAATAGACTTCCAAGTTTATTTTGTACACTATCATAATCAACAAAGACTCATGTCAGTTAACTTCATTAAAAACATGCTACCATAATAGTTCAACTGATAAACTTTTAACCCATTATTTAGAAGCATGAATTTATTAGAGGGTTTACGCAAACTACTATGCACTTAATCCTCTCATCTGCAATATTTAGTTAATACCAAGCTAAAAACAGAGTTGTAAGAATCACTGAAAGTGTTTGTTAAATGCTTTGCATAAATGAGAAAAAGGCCACATAAAATCAGAAATGTGTTATCTGAAGAATATCTCTGCACTTCAGAGTGTCTTTTTTTACAATCCATTTAAGCATTCAATGTGCTACAGGTACAATATAAAATAGCAATATTATTTACATACTCATTTTAAGTTTACTGACTCTTTCAGTCTAAAACACCAAGTTTACATACTTTGCAGCCAGAAATTTTGGAAATGGAAACTTGGAACTAGTTCTTCTCATCCTAGTTAAAGTTTCTGTGCACTTCTCAAGCATTTCTACCTCTCAATCCATAAACATCCAGCATGACTATGGTCCTTCAATTTAATTATTCCACTTAATGAACATTAAATATTGTTTGTTACATGATTCGGGGGGTGGCGGTGGGGGACACATATAAGCAGAGACTCCAGCCCTAAGCTGTTTTTTTAGACTTTTGGACATCAAACTAAGAGAAACTGAATTGTACACCATGTTGAGATCTTCTGATCCACGCTCAGCAAGGAAATAGGTCTTGGGTCACTTTTTAAATGTCTCCTTCATGGTTGCAGTTCATCAGCCCAATGTTTCTGCAGCATAAAAGTGATTATATGGGTGAAGTAATAAGTAAAGCAAGTACAGTCACACACACACACACACATATATGATAAATAAAAAGTCTCAACTTGTCTATAACCAAAATTATCAGTGAAAAGAGGAAAAATATTGATTCAGATAAGAAAATATTAACTTAGAATTCAAAGTTTCAATTAGAACAGGGCATAAAACCACAAAAACAGTTGAACTTAATTCAGGAAGTAAACATTTCAAGATAAACTACACTAGTCTAGGAAGAACAGCAAGAGCTTTACCTGAGAGGAGGTAGGATCGGCCTCTAAGTTACCATAGCACCCTTTATGGTGACGAATCAGATCTCCCCAAAGAATAAGATTCTTGCAGCTGAGGAAAAGGGGAGAACCATAGAGTTTTAGGGTCACATCAAGCCATAAAAGCTGGCTGGGTGACTTTAGGCCAGTCACATTTTCAGCTCAACCCACCTCACAGAACTTGTTATGGGGAAAATAGAAAGAGGAAGGCGTGCTAGGTATGTTCACCACCACCTTAAGTTAGTTATAAAAAAAATAAAGGTGGGACAAAAACCAATAAATAAATGGAGCTAATTGGGAAACAGGTGCGAGGGCAGAATACTAGCATCTACGTCCCTTCCACATTCCTTAATGCGCAGGAGAAATTGCTTACCCCGGGCACTGCCCTTCGATGGGCAGAATATGATCGGGCTCCTTTTCCAGGAAAAGGCGAGACAGGCAAAACATATGAGCAGCCATGGTACAAGTTGGGTGAAAACAGCGCAAGGGAATGTCCTCATCCCCATCCTGCAGAGAAGAATTTTAGAAGAAGTGCACTTCAGTACAGAGGAATCTGCTGCTCCTCAAACAAATACAGGGTTTTGCCACTATATTCTGATTCTATGTCCAGTTATTCCCCACTCTTCCTTGGTCAAAGTTGTTTTTTCCGGTTCATATCCAATTCTGCCTTAAAGGAGGCATCTTAGAAGCTGAGCACCCATTTTATTAGGGCAATTTTACCTCTTAGGATCCACTCAGTTTCTAGCCTTTCTAGTTGTGGAAAGAATACACAGCATCCCAGATTGTTACCTGAAAGGTCTTCAGACAGACACTACAATGTTTTGTGGTCATCACTTGTTCCTCCGGAGATAACGGTTCAGCACGCTTGGAGTCTTTGACAGCTCGAACTGGCCCAAAAGCTATGGGCATGTGTAAGGGGGGCTCCAAACCTGGGGGGAACTCTCGGCAGTACTCCTGCTTGAGCCATCGTATGGTGAGTGGCAGACGGCACCATGGGGCGGTTTGCAGCATGTGGGCTAAGACACGCAAGCGGAAGTCAAACGGACGCTCCCGTGTTCTGCGGCGGGTGACATGGGTGAGACGGCGGGACGAGTGAGGGTGTTGCCAGGCCCATTCAAACTGGAAATTAGCAAGGGGGGAGGGGTGTAAATTAAAAGGGATTGCTGAAACTTAGGAAGGAATGAAGAGAAGGGGAAGATCTGCCCACCTACTCTCAGGGTTTAACTATGGCTTTTTCAGTAACTGGTAGTCCTCGGCTTGCAACCACAATTGGGACCGTTGCTAAACAAGGCAGTTCAGTCACATGCAAGTTTATAACCTTTTTTGCCATGGTTAAGCAAGTCATTGCAGTTGTTAAGTGAATCATGCAGTCATTAAGTGAGTCCCACATTGACTTTGCTTGTTGGAAGCCAGTTGGTAAAGTTGCAAATGATGATCACATGACCCAGCCTACTGTGACTATCAAATACATATTGGTTACAAAGTATCCAATTTTGGTCACATATCCTGCAACAGGAGTAACTGAGGATTGGCTTTAAGTTATTTTTTTCAGTGCTGTTTTAACTTTGGACAGACTAAATGGATGAGTTGTAAGTCAAAGACAATCTATACTCAACTGGCTGGGTTCCCACAACAGACTAAACCCCAAATCAATTACGTTGGGTGAACACACAGAATCTCAAGCTAGCTAACCACATTTTAGCTTGCCACGTTCTGTGAATCCTGAGAAAGAGAAAATAAAATAAGCGCCTTACACGCAGAGCAGCCACATCAGAGGGGAAACCATGGACAATCAACACCATGTCCCTGCAAGAAGAAAGGAATGCATGAAGCTCAAAAGGATAGCAACTCATTTGATGCAGAAAGTTCAAATTTCAGCCTTCAAGAGGTGAATTTTCACCTCACTCAAATCTCATCCCAAATGGAGGGGGGGCAGATAGTGCAAAAATGGTTCCCTGTAGAGCAGTGTTTCCCAACTTAGTCATTGTAAGATGTGTGGACTTCAACTCCCAGAATACCTGCTGGCTGGAGTGTTCTGGGAGTTGAAGGCCACATCTTAAAATGGCTAAGATTGAGAAACACGCCTGTGGAGCTTCCCAAGTTTTTCCACCTACATCTGTTTGGGGCTAAGAAGGAACAGTTGTGAACTTCAGAAATGGATTGCAAACATAGCATCTTTTACATGCTCGTGAATTACCATGGTCCACGTCCACTTGTCTTCCAGGCCCCACCGCACCGCTTCCCAGCATTGTGTTGGCTTATGCGTCGTTCAGGATTGACAGTGAAGCCAATGTAGGTCCGCCCCTGGTAACGGGGGTTGGTGCAGTATAGTAGATATACCCCAAAGAAACCACGTATTTCCACCACCATTTCTCTCCCAGAGGGAGGGAACAGACTGAAGAAACCTACATGAAAGAAGAAATCCAGTGTTAGAAAAGCTGAACACCCATAACCATCCATCATCAGAATCCAACAAATAGGACTGATAACTGCCAGGGAGTCAGTAGCTGACAAATGTTTTCGAACTACAATTCCCAGCATCCTCCAGGCTTAAAGTTGCGAAGGTTGGAGACCCCTGATCTGACTGGTGTAGCTGGAATTGTTATTAAGCAATAATGTTACTAGTGTTATTTTCCCTAATTCTCCTCCGAGACATTCCGCTTAGATTTTGACACGCGAATCACAAGTTCGATTCCTTTGTATCTACATGGCAGAAAGAAGGCGTGTGCATTTTTGCCAACCATCAGGATTCCCCACCAAAATACCTGAAATTAAAATTCCTGCATTCCCAAATGGAAGGGGGAAAAAACAGTACCTGTTGAATTTCTGCCTGCTGTGCAACTCAGACTCTCGCATGCAAACTTAATCTTGCATATAGTGGATTTTACTATTTAGCAGAGTCCCCTTCCCCTCCGGATGCGACTCGAGCGACCCATAAAGCAGACATTCGCCATTATACCTGCACGTTTCCAGCCCAAGCCTCCCCTCTCCCCCACCCCCGTTTGCGTTGCCACGCCCCTTTCGAACCTTGCCTAACTCGCGACCACAGCAGACGGTAGACCGTTGCCTAGCAATCTTCCTCTCCCGTTTCTTCAAACGATGCCTTGCTTACATTCTATTGGTGAAGGCAGCGAGATGCCCCGCCTACATAGGGAAAACTATGCAGTAACATAGATGGATGACATAAGAAGAGGGGGAATGAGTTCTAGACATGCGAATAAAGGTGGCATTTAAAAAAGTATGGCTTGAAGTCAAAGTAGAAACTTAGATTTTTTTAAAAAAAAATATACGTATGTGTTCTCTATACTTTTTGTACTCTATGTGCATACGTTTACATAGAATTGCAAAGAAGGTTTACTCCATCTTAGACCAAGCCAAGTCCCAAAGCGTCAGAGAATTTCTAGAAGCCTGGCGCTCTGACAAATCACGCATCAAAAGACACATAGACATTAACAGCATCTATAAACCATGCAAAAGGGACCATCACCCAGCCCAAAAAGGAACAAAAAGACACAAGCATCTCTCCACCAGCAATCAGCACCCAGATCAGCATAGAGTAACTCCAAGGTTAACATCAGACCAACACCCCAATCAAGAAACTGCCAAAGAAGCCATGAATAAACAGCCCAACCAAAGAATCTCTAAGACCACCCTCACCCACTCAGACAGGTAAGCCACTAGACTGAAAGAAAACCCCACTCCTTACTAGCACTGATGATGTTACCCAGTTTGGGTGGTGAAACGTCTGCAAGAAAACAACCAAGCTCAAAGATCACCAAGGACTCCTCGAAGAATGGTATATAGAATCTTCTGCTTAAGCAGGGGGCTGGACTAGAAGACCTCCAAGGTCCCTTCCAACTCCGTTATTCTGTTAGCAGTATGAAAGAAGGTTTTTAGGATAACTTTTAGGACAGGTTGGGCTGCTGTATTACTCTTATTTTGGTTGCTCTAGGGTGAAACCACCGGAGTGACGTATTGCAAGTTGATTGGCCACATGAGTTACAGACAGCAACGAGGAGGACGTGACGTCCCCCAGAGGCGGAAATGAAAGGCTTGGCTTCTGGGTTCTCTTGCATTCGGGGAGGCTTTTCGGGGAAGGATGGAGCCGTCCAGAGTTCTCAGCGCGGAGGCCTTGCGGGAGAGGCTGCTTCAGGGACTTGAGGCTGAGCACGTGGTAAATGGGATAGCTTCCCATTCACTGCCCGAAAGCTGGCAGTTCAAAGGGCTCGGTTTGAGTGGTTGGCACCTCTAAAGTTTGACTTAAAAACCCCTCTGAAGGATGTAGCGACCTTTGCTTGCTCCTTTGCAACGTTGCTTTTTCAAGTACCCCCCTTAATCATTTTTCAGCTAGTTTTCGTCTCCGTTATTCATAGTGTGCTATTGTTGCTTAAAGTTACGGGCTGCTTTAAAATCTACGTTCTGCTGAAAAATGCAAACATTCCTCTCTTTCTTTTATAAAAACAATTCTTCCACTGAATGGCTACAGGATATTCCTCCTTCTCTGATAGGATAAACCAGTTTTCATGACTTGGTGTTTTCAGAATGGGCTTTCCATTATCCCCAGCGAGCATAGTCTTTAGAGCACACCAGGATGAGGAGAGATGGCTTTAAAATTTCCCTTTTTCAGAAGTAATTGGCATTTTGTTTTATTCTCCATATCGGTTTTGCATTATTAAGCTTAAGCTCCAAATCTTGCTTTTTGCTGGAGTATGAATGTGTTTGTTGTTTTAATAGGCTGCCGTCATACCAACTAATTTAAAAATGTCTTCCTAGGCCAGGAATAACAACATACTTTCAACACAAGAATGAAGATGAAAGAAAGAGAAATAATAGATGCTGAGCAGCCTATAAAATTAGGCCAGGCCAAAATGACAGCAGCCTATTTGCAGATCTGTTCTCACTGTTGATACAGAAATTCAGCGCAATTTGATCCTTAGGATACATTTAAGTATTCAGTAATCTTTATTAAATTCAGTGGGAGATTGCTTTTAAATAGGCATATCTAAGATTATGATGTTATGGATATTTTTATCCTAAATTTTGATTTCTTTTGAGACTGTTTTTCCTTTTTATTAAGCTTATTTGGTGCACATTTCATTTTCTAATAGTATTATGTTAATCTAATGCATTCTTTTCTGAGTTTCTTTGCATTTTTATTCCCTGTAATTTCCTGGCAAAAAACTGCCTTTCCATATGCTTTTTAACATCTCCTTTCAAAGTTTTCTTCCCATTATCTGTTTGGAATAAATAAATTGTATGCAGGTATTGTATTGTAATGTAAATGTATTGTTATGTTCTAAATCAGGAGTTGGCAACCTTAATCACTCAAAGACCCATTTGGACCTGTTTCCCACAGAAAAGAAAACACGGGAAACCCTTCCCGTGCCTGACTATTTCCTGAGCGGCCACAAAACTAGCATATATAGTTGAATTAAAGATTCTATTCTGAAACTTCTTTTCTTGAATTTATCCATGGTTAGCTTATCGGGGGGCCCAAAAGGTCAATAAATCATGTGCCGGCGTATGTCACACATTGGTAGTTGTGATGCATATTTTGAGAGACGGAGCCGCAGCACAGGGATGAAGAGCCACATGTGGCTCCGGAGCCACGGGTTGCTGACCCCTGTTCTAAATAAAAGGTGTCAAACTCACATCACGGCAACATCCCATGATGTATTGGGACTTTTCCCTTTCGCTAAACAGGGCTTGGGCGTGGCCAGCACATGACACATCCGGCCCACGGGCTAGGAGTTTGACAACCCTATTCTAAATAGTATATCAATATAATTTCTTTATTTTATTCACTTTAAGGAGGTAGAAGATACTACCCCTGGGCGCTGTGCTACAAGCTTCAAAGTTTTGGTCGTTTCTCCATTTTTCCGAGGAAAAGCACTGTTACAACGACACCGGTAAGTAAGTGTAAGAAGAGCTAACTTACAGAAGGACTGAACAGTCTTTTATTTTCTTAATGGTTGGAATTATCTTAATAGTGTTCCAAAACTTTACAATGTTAGGAAATAAGGACCACAAAAATCAGGCATTCTTTATACTTATTTTCCATGTTTTCTTGATTCCTCTGTCACCTTCCTTTTTTTCTTTTGCTCCTCTATTGGTTTAATCTATCCTTAATTTTTAATCCCCCCCTTCCCCCAGATTGCTCAGAATAGAGTAGATAATGTTAACTTCCTCCATTTGATCTTACAACAGCAATGGTTCTGTGAGGTAATCACTGATTTAGGCTATCCAGCAAAATAAATGCTCTCTATACATAGATATGCCCTTTCTTCTTTATTAAGTTTATTTAATAAAGTTTAATGGAGTTTATTTATTAAATACTTTCTCATATTTTCATTATTCTTTTAGATGTATAGATCCAGTTTAGAAATAGAAATGTATTGAACCTATAGCATAAATTAAATCACTATTCAAAATAAAGTGGGCATTTAAAATTGTGGAGTTTTTTCCAAGCATAGATCATACAAAAGTTGTTTTTTAATATGATGTGTTAATTTTAAATGCTACCTTAATCTCATATGAATATGAGAGATCAACATTACATATTAGTACCTCAAAATTGTATTCAGGCTACTTCACAGCTTTTCTATGACATCCTTTTTTATTTGAATCCCTCCAAATATTTTAATAACAAATGAACAATTTATCTGCGTCATTTTCTATTACATTATTAACGGTATAAGGAAAAAATAGTTGAACATCCAAAGAAATGCAAAATTATGGTATAGTTGTGTGAAGAAAATGAATTATACACTGCTCAAAAAAATAAAGGGAACACTTAAACAACACAATGTAACTCCAAGTCAATCACACTTCTGTGAAATCAAACTGTCCACTTAGGTAGCAACACTGACTGACAATCAATTTCACATGCTGTTGTGCAAATGGAATAGATAACAGGTGGAAAGCAGAGGCATTTAGCAAGACATCTCCAATAAAGGAGTGGTTCTGCAGGTGGTGACCACAGACCACTTCTCAGTTCCTATGCTTTCTGGCTGGTGGTTTGGTCACTTTTGAATGCTGGCGGTGCTTTCACTCTAGTGGTAGCATGAGACGGAGTTTACAACCCACACAAGTGGCTCAGTGCAGTTCATCCAGGATGGCACATCAATGTGAGGTGTGGCAAGAAGGTTTGCTGTGTCTGTCAGCGTAGTGTCCAGAGCATGGAGGCGCTACCAGGAGACAGGCCAGTACATCAGGAGATGTGGAGGAGGCCATAGGAGGGCAACAACCCAGGATTAGGACCGCTACCTCCACCTTTGTGCAAGGAGGGACAGGAGGAGCACTGCCAGAGCCCTGCAAAATGACCTCCAGCAGGCCACAAATATGCATGTTGCTACTCAAACAGTCAGAAACAGACTCCATGAGGGTGGTATGAGGGCCCAACGTCCACAGGTGGAGGTTGTGCTTACAGCCCAACACCATGCAGGGCGTTTGGCATTTGCCAGAGAACACCAAGATTGGCAAATTCACCACTGACTCCCTGTGCTCTTCACAGATGAAAGCAGGTTCACACTGAGCACATGTGACAGACGTGACAGGGTCTGGAGACGCCGTGGAGAACGTTCTGCTGCCTGCAACATCCTCCAGCATGACCGGTTTGGCAGTGGGTCAGTAATGGTGTGGGGTAGCATTTCTTTAGGGGGCCGCACAGCCCTCCATGTGCTCGCCAGAGGTAGCCTGACTGCCATTAGGTACCGAGATGAGATCCTCAAACCCCTTGTGAGACCATATGCTGGTGCGTTTGGCCCTGGGTTCCTCCTAATGCACAACAATGCTAGACCTCTTGTGGCTAGAGTGTGTCAGCAGTTCCTGCAAGGTGAAGGCATTGATGCTATGGACTGGTCCGCCCGTTCCCCAGACCTGAGTCCAATTGAGCACATATGGGACATCATGTCTCGCTCCATCCGCCAACACTATGTTGCACCACAGGCTGTCCAGGAGTTGTGGGATGCTTTAGTCCAAGTGTGGGAG